GTATGTAACCATGGTTCCCCGAGGGAACGAGATGCTGCGTCGAGATCGCTTTGGGAACGCCCTTGCGTGACCGCGTTCTGAAGCACGTGTCAAATCCGTCCAATGGAGCAGCGAGACGTTACGAGCAGGGTGACGTAAGCACCAGAAAGCATCACACTTCATGAAAGTGCGGGTTGAGAGTGACAGGCCGAAGGGAAGAACTCTATATTGGTATGCTTCGCCGCCGAAAGCAAACCTCAGGAAATTCCAGTGTTGAGGGAGGATGAAACATGGAAATAAGCGTCTCTGAGATCTATCGTAACAAACCAGTCCTCGGACTGGATCTGAGATACTATCTGCTTGATAGTGAGCATCTTGAACCGAAGCCGTTTGATAGCGCGGTTCAGAAGACGGAGATCTAAGATCGGACGCAACCCCCCCATCCTTCTTCGGAACGATGAAGTAACGGCTGTAGAACCCGGACGCTCTCGAGAGCTCAGCAGCCCCACCCCTGAGCAGGTCAGCCTGGTATGCTTGTAACACCGCCATGGTGTGCAAACATGCGCCAGCCAGAAACCGCAGCGCGGGCTTCTGAACCGTTTATGCTTTCTGGTGCTTACGTCACCCTGCTCGTGACGTCTCGCTGCTCCATTGCACGGATTTGACACGTGCTTCAGAACGCGGTCACGCAAGGGCGTTCCCAAAGCGATCTCGACGCAGCTCGAGTTCCTGAAGGGGAACTTGTATTCTATTCAACAACCCTGGGAATTTTTTTGTCCTAGAATAATTTGGCAACAGTTGGTTTTGCTTATTGCATTGAGCAGTTCAAAAGTGGAAGCAAATCAGTGAATTCATAAATATCCCCAACCAGACATATCATTTCCTTAGCATTTGTCTGGGATGTCCAAGGAGGAGGATAGCAATCAATTTGTTACTGCTGAGAAAATCCACAGCTGTACTGAAATTTGTGTGCAATATCCAGCAGCAGAGAACAAAAACATCTGGTCGACTCTGTATTATGAGGGAATAAGTAAAAAAACAAAAAAAAACAAGAACACTGTTCAGCTTGTAAGCAGGAGTTCAACTGTGAAAACGAATCAATTAATTCAGAAATATCTCCAAATGACTACATTATTCACTTAGAGTCTATGGAATATAGATTGCATGCCTGTGGCACAATTGTTATGTAATGAGTGATTTACAATTTTCCTTACTGAGCTATTGTTCTAATGGGAATTATTAATAATACCAAACTACAGGCATCTTGGGTATGAATTTAAGAATTTAACGTTTTATAGAGTAATATCAGAAAATACATTCTTAAATGATCCCATGCAGAGAAGATCAATATCCATCATTTATTAACATGATATGCTTGACATTTTTTTTACATGCACAGATAAAGAGAAGAGCTTTTCAGCAGGGCTACCAAAGCACCAGTAGAACTTAAGGGAGCATTTTAAAACTCCTGCATCATTAACAGATCCCATGCTGCTAGAAGACTCAAACACCACATGCTCCCTCCAGAGATGTGACCTTCTCACCAGTCCCCAGGCAGCCTTCCTCATTACCCTGCTCACCATACTCCAGCAAAGACTTACATATAATGAAACCATGAGGCTCCAGTTGCCATGTCAACTCTCCAAGTATGTTCCACAGGGGATTTTTCCAGTCCGGGTGAGAGATGACATGTTTGATGTGATGTAAATGATTTAAAAAAGGTATGGATCTAACTGGGTGGAATGGGGACAGTTGTAATGCAGAAACCAATGCTGGGACTGAACAGTGGCCCACAAATACAGTAAATGTGCTTTTACCTGTGACGGGAAGAATATACTGAGGATGGGACTGTGAAATAAGTCCAGGTTAAAGAAAGCTTAGTCTAAATTTAATTTATCGTTTATCTTTGACACCATTACTTGTTCATACGCTTAATTAAACCCCCATTATACCGTATATATTCCTTTGAAAATGTTGAATTCTTGGTGTTCATTGATCCTGAATATTTTTTGCTATATCAAATTACTAAAAGTAGCTGAGGGAGACTTGCCAAGACTCCTTTTTAAAGGTGTTTAATGTCATATGGCTCTAATAGCAATAAAGATGTCAGGTCTCAACTCCAATGAAATAATTGTCATAAAAGTGCAATATAGTCATTCAAAACTCCACTTTTTAACATTGCTGTTGGTTTGAGTATCTCTTATCAGTTTTCTTCCTATTTCTGAACAGGTCCTATAAAGGACATGAACCTTCCCACGTCTCCTACAAAACTGAATGATTAATTAATGTTCCATAGTCGTAATTACAAGGTCAGATCCATCATGTGATACATGATACCGCATTGAGAAAACTACAGAAATCCTATGGCAAGGGTGTGTTGTTTTATCTGTCAAGAGTGTCTGCCGGTGATAGCCTAGAGCCAGCTGCTCTCCAGAGGAGCTCTGAACCGTGCTAATAATTCTGAGCTGGTATGGAGCCAGACTCCAGGAGAAATGTGGGAATGATCAGGTAGTAGTGAAATGAACAGTGGAGAGTATATCGTAATTTATCTCGAGGACATGCCCAGAAGTCCAACTTCATACTGTTCAAGCAATAGGTTTCAAACCTTTTTTCCAAATGTGCTCTTCACTTAAAGAGAAAACACGCAAGTAACTAAAGACGTCTTATTGGGAAACACATACTGTATGACAACATTTCTAAAAAAAAATAAAATAAAGATTTGAGTTTGTTCATCTTTTTTATTTGCTAACATGAATTTGATAGATGAGTCATGTCAGCATGTTGTCATCATTTATTCTGCACTCAAACAGCTTTCAGAATGAATTACATTAGTAAAAAAAAAAAAAAAAAAACTGAGAGTATTCGTTTTCATAAAGGCCAGCGAGTTAAAAAGCTCTGGGAAAAGAAGAATTCACCCAAAGATGAAAATGTTGTACCTCCAAACCTGTAAGGACTAAAAACCCCAAAAAAAAAAAAAAAACATTCTAAATGAAATTGCCTTCCATAGGTTTGGCGTCAGAAACATCAAACGCCTCCGGTTCTCCTTTGTCTTGTAACCAAACCTAAACCACTAAGTCTGGACAACTTCTATGATGCTTTTCAGTACCCTGATCAATGCTGCTTTCATTTTGTGAGAAAGATTTGTATAAACATTTATTGTATTTTTGTTTTACACAGAAGAAAGTCAGTCAAACAATTTTGTAACAGTGAGGGTGGGTAAATCCTCAAAAACTCAGTGACTAAGAAGGAGATTGGTAAGGGAGGCCACCAAGACAAGAGACCAGTGACAAATCTAAAGGAATTACAGAAGGAGTCTGGAGAAACTCTGCATTGTACAACTGTGGCCCAGATGCTTCACCACTCGCAGTTTTATTATGGCAAAGAGAAAACTGTAATTCCCCTCAAGCATACGCTGGCACAAGTGGTTTCCGTACTACTGGTTTATTTGTTGGCTTGTCCCCCAAATCCACCGTGAAAACTAAACAATGAATACAAAACCACATTAACTTAATATAAACCAAAACATACATTAGCAAACATACAAACTTTAAGAACTTCAAACACAAAATACAAACATAAAGCAAATATAAAGCGAAATACCTCGTTGGCTGCATGCTATATGAAAGAAATTGTCTTGAAAATCTTGGCTACAGTTTATCAGAAGACTTCTGGAGAATTATGAATCCAGCTGAAAGAAGGTTTTACGGTCCAATAAGACCAAAACTGAGCTTTTTGGCAATCAGACTAATGAAATCTTTCATAGGGATGGACACTTTTTGAAACAGTCAAACAAAGGTACAGTGGCTTTTGTACTATAGTATTTGTACACTTAAGCACCATAAACACATTTCATTGCATTAAATAACAAAATATCAAACCATAGCATCTATAAATCTATAATCAATCAACGTTTTTAAATCTTTTGCTTAAAAACTGTGCCTGTGTACAGACACACTTCAAACGAAATGCTATGTGGGGTGGTGGGCGTCTATCCAAGGCACACTTCAAATGTTATTAAAAATCCTTTATTCAGCTGGCTATTTCAGAATAGAAAACGTTTTACAAATAATTGGCTGCAAACACACGTTTCAGTCACAAATGCTTTCTTCAAGTTTCTTTTTTGATAAATGTGTTTGTTGTGATATTTTGTTATATAATGTCACATTTTAAATGAGGCATAAGGGTACAAATATTTTGTGCCTTTCTCCCTGTGCCTCTCTCTGGGGGTTAGTCTTTAACTTTACCTCTCTAAGAATCAGCAAGAAATAAATAAGACACAGTAGATCTTATAAAAAACCAATTTGTTGCACTCTGTTCAAGTTTGCTCAGGTATTAAGGTTTCGTGTATAGTCCTATATTAGGGTGCAACAACACGCATAGTAGCCTACGTTATTGGACTGATTAAGAGATCAGCTGTACTTTGTGTAAGTCGATAACATGAAATGTGCTTGCTTTTTTATCATCGTCGATACACCTTGCGAAAATAGCTTTTCTGAGACAGGTTGCGTCATTAAATGTCGTTAAAAAGCCATCTCTAATGCTCAGCTCGTGACCTGTATCCATTAAAGCGTCTCTGCATATCCATTTCCACCGCCGAGATTATCCGCTAGCGTCTCACACACAGACAGTCGTGAACTCGTCCCTCGGTTCTCTCATCTAATGCTGTAGCTAAGTCTTTTGTTTAGGATACGGGGATCATTTCACAACACTTTAAGTTTCCAATCGATTTCTGCTGCAATCGTGCTCAGAGCAGCAGTGCTCAATTACTGAGAAGACTTTCTCGGCATGGCCCTTCGCCCACGCGTTTAAAAACCAAAGCCCTGCTAAAGTTGACTACAGGGTACACTATTCTGCACTGGCCGTCGATATGCTCGAGCTGGACCATCGCCTCGCTCCTGGCACGCCTGCATCCCTCTCGACCAATCAGAGCCGCGGCATCGTCCCGCCCCTCCCGGTTCCTTGAGAACACGTGATCCAAAGCGGTCTGGAAACCTGCCGCTCGTCTTCAGTGCGTTATTGTGGTTCACAGGTACAGAAGAATGGCTCTTCGCGAGACTCTGACAAACTCACGGCTCTCCGCGAGGGCACGGACTGAGGACGGAGGACAGTCTCTCTAAGCAGCGCTTCAGTGGATGTTGTAACTTCGGCATGTCACTCAAATGGGATATATGATTTTGTGCCCCATTTCGTTTTTTTAAAAACACCCCTCTCGTCTTTTGATTTTTGCCTTGCGTTTTGAACATCTCGCTTACCCACTTCCCTCCCGATACCATCCCTCCCCTGTCCATCGCACCCAGACCTCTCTCATTCCGCATCTGCACCCTCTCGCTTCGGGCGGATCTTCGCTCTGGTCATCCAGAAACAACTGCTTCATGGGGCACACTCCTTCCGTCGGAAAATGTCCCTCTCTTGGCTTCTAAGCGCACCGGCAAAGTTGACAACATTAAGACCAGGGCTGGCGTTGCGCGTCTGTGAGCAGTGTCGGGGGAACTGAGATGGGTGTCACGGTGACGGCGGCCCTACATGAGCCCCGAAGTCCGCACCAGTGGAGCCGGATAGTGGGTCACTGGGTATGGATTGCAGTCTTGTCCTTTCTCGCCACTTTCCCGGTGCAACAACTTGGCGCTTTCCCGTCCTCTCTCAGCGACTGTCAGACTCCAACTGGATGGAATTGCTCGGGTAAGATGTTCAAGAAGTCCGCTGCTCCTTGCATTGAAGAGAATAAGGTTTGACGTTCCCTTGGCAACTGAAAACGGCTGTTTGTCATACAAGTAGCATAAGTTATGGATGTGTGGTGATGAAAGCTTTAGCAGTTCACTGCTGCTGAAAAAATGCTGAAGACCTGTTTTAGTTATGAGCTTTTGTTGTGTTACCGCGTAAATAGTTTATTTCTGTCCTACTAACCGTCTTTTTAACTCTCAAGCGATATGTAAATAATGATATTTTCATTGGAGCAAAAATTAATAGTTTTCTCCCACTCTGGCCACTCAATTAAGTTAGCTATTCACCTCCTCAAATGAGAGTTGCATAGCCCAGTCGATCTATAATCGTTATTATTCACCGCAATAAACTGTCAACTGTTATTGTTTTCAGATTATTGTTTTTCTTGCTGCTTAAATGGCTCGTTTTTGTTCGCACTTATGAAACCGTGTTTAGTCTACGAACTGTCGCTGATACCACATTTACTACATCAATTGACCTGTTTTTCTAGGTTCAGTGCGTTCAAAAGAAAAACGGATGCTTGTACGTTAAACACAGGCTTTCACCGCTGGGAACCTTAATAAACAGGCAGATTATCAAAATATGAAAATATGTGGCCAGAAAAACGGCTCTTGTGGTCATTCTATCTAAATCACCTGTGAAGTTTCTGAGGAAATTAACTTTGCTCTTTATTTTCATGTTTGGAACAATTTGTAGCTACTTTGCGCATTTACCTAAAACTCGTATTTATATCTTTCTTTTTGAAAAAAGACAACCATACGGTCTCTCACATCCCTTCTAATACTACATCAATAGAGGATATCGTTAAATAAATTGATTTTAACGTCATAATTTATATTGAAAAAAAATACGTTTTACCTTGTATTGGACATATTTTAAACTTAAGCGAGTGAACAAGTGGCGATATTTTGGTCAAGTTTAAAAGGTTTCAGTTTTGAAGAATGCACGTGTAAGAATCCTTTTAGAAGCCATGCTTTTCTTGGCAACAATTCCATCAAGCCGGCATAGTAATCTCGAGCATCAGTCCAGACTCGGATATTAAGTGGGTTTTGATTTGGATTGCGGCGACCTCTCACCCTCACTGTCAGAGCGCCGTTCAGATGATTGCGGATGCACGTGAAATAATCATCATGCGCGCCCTGAGGCTCGAGAGAGGCTCGGAACTCGCCGCATATTTCTGCTCAGTTTCCCGCCGTGGCGCCTCACTATCAATCAGCAGGTCACCGTGGGCAATTAGGTGTCGTTCCAAAACGTCTATCCTTGCCTCTTGCTTGCACTTTGGTTGTACAACTCATGGCAATGGCATGCACGAGACGTGGGAAGCTCTACCACAGGCATGCCTGAAGGCCACTTTAGATGATTTACAAAAAGGTGTTGATAATATATGATGAATTTTCCTAGTAAATCCTGACAAATGCAGTCATACAACCAGTGCAGACTAAAAAAAACATAACACTAATTGCCAGAATCAAACAGGTTTACAGCTAATGATCTATTCAAACAGGTGTGGCCAGTGTTTGGAATTATTATAAAGTGAGTTTTTAATAGCTTATCATCAGATTGTCAGGGGTGCCATTTAAAAGCACTTAGTGACAGTTATTCAAACAGCTGTTAGCACATTGACAAACAATTCTTTCTTCTGTATATATATATATATATATATATATATTGAAAAAGTTTTTTATTTGGTTTGTTTTATGAAAGTCAGTGGTGTCCTATGTTGTTTTGGAACACATTTACAGGATTTTAATTTTTTTAATTAACAGTTCCTTTACATTATTGCTGAATTACTGCACACAGCAAACAGAATGGCTATACATTTGGACATTGCATTGCATTTATTAGGTCTGAAGTAAAAAAAAAAAAAAACATAAGAGAGGAACCTGCAGCGTTATGGCATAAAACCTGAATTTCCTACTGACTGAATATAGTTTAAATCCCCAGCACAGAATTATGTGCTGAACACAGCAAAACAAATGCAAACCAGCTGTTTAGTCAACAATCCTAACCTAAGGCCATTGGCAGTGGACACAAGCGGTGTGAATACTTTTGCAAAGTAAATGCCTTATTACTGAAGTATCTTCTCTGTTCATGATTAGAATTCAGAGTCAACTCTGTAAGCTTTTTTGTATCAATTTTATGTAGCTACTGCCTCAAAAGTAAGTCACTGCCCAAAGGGCCGTAAGCTTTTATTTGTATTGTTCATTGTCAATAGCTCTCCTTTGGAGAGTTTTTGCTCTGCTGGCTCACTGTGGGCTTTTGCATATCAGCTGCAAAGGAGGCGAGACAAGCACAAACAAAGTAGGCAAGAGGGGACAGCAGACTTTTTTGAATTTGAAGAGACACAACAACATAAACTGCCAGTTTTTGGTAGTTCAGTTAAAGTCTTAAAGGGATATTTCATTCAAAAATGAAAATTCTGTCATTATTTACTGTACCCCATGTCATTCCAAACCTGTACTGTATATGGCTTTTTTTCTTCTGTGTAACACAAAATAAGGTTTTTTTTGTTTTTTTTTTTTATGTCAGTGTTTTTTGTCCGTAAACTCTCAGAAAAAAAGGTACCGCCCCAGTGACAACTTTTGTACCTTTTTTTCTGAGAGTGTACAATGAAAGTCAATGTTGTTTAGACCATAGCGTAGTGTTTCACAAAAGTTATACTGGTTTGGAACAGCAAAAGGATAGTAAATGATAGAATTTTCATTTTTGGGTGAACTATCTCTTTGAACCTTTGCTGTCTGTTAGATGTTTGTTAGAGTATTTTCAAATTAGTTACAAAGTATCCAGATTTTTCAAAACGCACTTGTTCTACTCCTCTGTCTCTAAAGAGCAGAGAATTCTGAACAGATTCTTTGTATTACACCTCAAGCAAAAGCTAAAACATTTTCAACTGATAACAATGTCCTGAGGTTTAAAATCCAGCTCTTTAATGGCCAGACAACTGGTCTGATGTCTCACTCACTGGAGCTGTCTTCACTTCACCTTTAGAATATTTGTGTCTCTGCCAGCTTGCTTCTTTCAATTATTCACCTCGCTGGCAAGGCAGAAATAACAATCTGCATCTCCCCCGATACTCTCTTGTTTGGCACACTGTGAGACATAACATTGGCTCACACTTCTCGTTTGTTTTGTTAAAATTACGACACTCTTGAGGAGCTAAGAGACCTGCAATACCAGGTGTGTGAGCCAAACAAAGTCTCCTATTTCACTGCAGAAGGAAGAAACATGCAGCTGGAGGTAGCAACACCCTTAATTAGGACTGTTAGAACTCTGCTACTGATGAAGTGGATGTTGTTGGCTAATTATAATATTTGAGGTGGAATTATTAATTAGTGCAATCTTGTGTTCTTCATATGTATTTGTAAGTTATGAAGTTCTGCACATTCTCTATACTAAGTCTGCCCTTCACCTTGTCACTGTAAAGCTACAGCTGTAACTAACCTATTTGTTTTAAATTGCCTTCCATTAGCTACTAAATAGCTATTATGCAAAAGTGGCCAAGCCATAGGACAAATTATGCTGCTCCAAAAACAAGCGGTTACCAAGGTTATACTGATTATGAAGTTCTTTATAAAATTTGCTGCTTTAGAATCTTAAACGGACTTGTTTGGTGAGAATACAAGGCAGTATGTAAATATTTGGCCTTATATAGGATGCCTTAAAGTTGTAATGAAACAGAAGTAGCAACAGATCTTTTCTTCCATATTTTACCGTACATCTGTGTGCAACAAATTATCAACAAAAAAAAAATGTAAGTTGTGTGACTTGGTTCTATCCATCAGTTGATGGTTGGATTTTGAAGCAGAGTTAATCAGCCTAAATGACTGGAGAAGTCTGATGTACTGTATATCACCAGGGAGAACTCTGTTGATTTCACTGGAAGATTGAATTATGACATTTTTATTAAACATTATAAGGTCAAAAATATATAATATTCTTAATATATCATACAGTATATTAATATAAAAATGAAACATACAGTATACACAAATCACTCATTCACAAAAAAAAAAAAAACCATAACATGGAATTACAAAATTGATGTAAATTTTAATTTTATGGCGAGTTTAAAGAAGACTTTAAAATGTGCATTTTTTTTAGATGAAAAAATTTTTTTCCTAAAGAGGATCATTGTTCACAGACAACTGTTTTCCAAACTTATTCCTAAAAAGAGTAATGGCATGAGTTGGAGCAGGACTATCTGTTTTTGTGACCATTGTCAGATGAAGAAAATATTAAAATAATTTTTATTTTTATTATTTATTTATTTATTTTGTAATGTTAGTGGCACATATATTAGACATATCCTTTAAATTGTATTTTAAAATATTAAAGAATTCTATATTTAAAGGTGCACTAAGCAAATTTTGCCAAATGATGTTGATATTTGAAAGCACCAAAACACACACGTCAATAGCCCAACAGGACCTCACCCCTATTTTGATAACTCCGCCCAACATGTACGTACACAACCCTGGCAGCGGCGATGGCGGAATCTGCTATGCCTGCCAGCTAAGCGTATTAAAGCAAAAGCCAACACAGATTAGTTGTGTGAAACAAAGCAAAATCAACGTAACTCACCTATCAAGAAGAAACAAAGCAACCTCGGCATCTGATTCCAGGCCTTCCCACTCCTTGAGTCCTCTCCACCACTGGAAAGCTGCTCCAATATTTATGTGGGTCCTACCCTTCTTTTTAATGTTTCGTTCCTCTGAAATTTCCCGTTTTTTTTATTATCTGCCATCTCTCGATCTGCTAATATCCGTCCTGTGCACTCACTGAGCGCTCTCTTCTCCCTATCATCACTAGACACGCCCCTTACTGCTGATTGGCAGCGAGTGTTTTGGGACTCGGTCCGACACTGTGGTCAAAAGCGTTTTTCAAATATTGCTTAGTGCACCTTTAATTTGAATCTTATTTTTGAAAGAAGATTCTAGCATTTGTTTAATGCTTCAGGAATACAGTAAATTCTATAACCTTCCTTTACATCTGTATTATGTTTTGTACTAAATGTAATGTGTTCCAGTATGTTTTGATGTCAGTATAAGGATGTTTGTTGGGAGGTTAAATATAGTGTTTGCCTTGCTAGTGACAGCTCCAAAAGAATCGACTCTGCAAATCATTGTTGTGGATAGTTATGCATCAACTGTTATCTTATTTATGGCCGTGCAGACTGTTTGCACATCACTTTTTCATATACACATACCTTGAAGTTCATAAGAGTCCTGTGTTTAAACTGAACTGTTTTCGTACTTAGAGAAAGTCTATTTTGGATTCAGGAAGAGTTGCTTTAACTTGTTTTTGTGGGCCGTCAGATAGTAGAGCATCTTCGGATGAAAGATGTAATTTCCTGTTTGGCTGCTCTAATCATTGCTTTGTGACTTCAAGGAATGACTTTGAGGAATTCTTATTGAAATTTTTAGGATGTTTTTTTTTTTTTACTCTCTTGTTGTCCATACACATACAGTGCTTTCTTCACAAAGAAAAGGAAAACAGATCTTATCTCTCCATGTAGACAGCTACTGAAAGATTGTCCTACCAGAGAGACTTTAAAGAGAGCAGAACAAAATTCCTTTCTGCTCATGGTAACTCAGCGCTGCTCAAAAAAGCATTTTTAACAGACTTCTAAAAGCGTATTTACAGTTAATCAAATTATCTGACTGATGTTTTGGTTAAGTTTAAAATCTTGTTAAGCATTTAGAGGCCTTTCAGTGTCCTTGATGAAGAAATTACCATAATAAAATTGCAAGGTTGCCGCTGCCTGTTTCCAGAACTCATTTCCTCTAGCGTGACCTGATAACTTTCCTCAATCTCTGTTTTTACTTTCCTGTCCTAACCTTATATGGCGTTGAACTTTATTTGATGGTCTAGACCTGGAGAATGTGGACCTCAGCGGGTACATCAGAAGTTTCTTAAGGGTTACGTAAGGGATACGTAGTTCACCACCACCTAAAAAAACAAAATAATAATAATTACAAAACTGCTATGACTACTTTTTTTGTGGAACATAAAAAGATAACTGTCCATACAATGAATGTCAGTGGGGTCCAAAACAACTTTCATTGTATGGACAAAAACACTGAGACCTTATTTTGTGTGAAACCAGTTTTGTATAATAATAATATAAACTACAATATGCGGTAAAGGGAACACATTTCTGGTTTGTTGTTGATGAAAGGGTAATTGAAATTACTTGTGTGGCTGTGAAGGTTCGGGAGATAAAAAGGTTGGTAAACACTGGTCCTGACTGTTGAATCGCTTAATGTATTGTGTTGGGGTAGGGTTAGAGTAAGGGGATAGAAAATACGGTTTATGAGTAGAAAAACCATTATGCCTATAGAATGTCACCATAATGATAGGAATACCTGTCTGTGTGTGTGTGTGTGTGTGTGTGTGTGTGTGTGTGTGTGTTAGAATATATATTTTCAAGGTCGGTTGGTGTTTATCTTACAGTTTCTGAAATGGTGGCACCTCATGTGTTGTTTTTTTAATGGAATGTGTTTTTTCAGTGTCACTACAGGGTGCCACTTCTTCAGATTAATTAGACTGAATAGAGGGATTTTGTGTCTGGTGAGAGAAAATATCCTGTGACTCAGATATCCATGTTCCTCTCTGATCCATTACATAATTTCCCCCTCCTGCTCCTGTTGCCAAGTGCCTTGTTCAATACTGCACGTTTCAGACATGCACTCAAATGCGTCAACCTGTGTCCCGAGGTCAAACTGTATTATGACACAGCTATGAAAGGGCAGCCAAGCAGTAGAGGTGTGACAAAATGCTTTGCATCTGTATGCCTTCGCAGAGGGAGTGCTTGCATCAATAATGCAAGCAGATGCATCATGCCCGCTCTAACAAAAGAGCAATGTGCCACATTAGATTTGTGAGCCAAGTGGATTTTAAATAATCGTTGTTGGTAAAAAGAAGAATTCCATTTCTCAGTGTTTTTAGTCTATACAGTGAAAGTCATTGGGGTCTAAGGATGTTTGTACAAAAACATTCTTCAGAATATCTTCTTTTGTGTTCCACAGAAGAAAGTAAGTCATACATGAACAACATGAGTGTGAGTAAATGATCACAATTTTTTTTTTGTGAACTATGCCTTTAAGGCACAAAGTGAGCTAGGACTTCTACTGGTGCTGCCTCAAAATATGAGAAGAATGAATGCAAGGAAAATGATTTGTGTAAGAATTATTAGACTTAACTTAAGGCATGAATTCTTATTTTATCAGTAAGCCAAGGGATTGACAATGGCTTTGACTAATTAGCTTTGGCAAATACTCTGACTAGCATTTGTTGCTTTAGGCTGAATTGATTGAATGTCAGTTTATCACAGCTCCTTAAGAACAGATTGTGAACAAGATGAATTTTAATGAAATATTCCTGCTGCAAAGCGTGAACAGCTACTAATTTTACACGAGGGATTTATGCACAAACCAAGAGCCAGCATCATTTCTCAAGGTCTCCAGAACTGAGGATCACAATGTGAATATTACAACTGTCCCGCAAGACTACTGTTTTTTTTTGGGGGGGGGGGGGTTTTGCCCCCCTGTAGCTTTTAAGGTCCATTGATCATTTTTAGCTGAAATACAAATAAGCCACAAGGTTATGTAAGACATATTTCTGCGCTGTATGTGGCCCTTTAGCAGGGGCCTAAAGTACCTCCATGTCCTCTGGTGTTGTCGTTACAATGAGCAATGTCCTGGTTCGTTCTAGCTTCCGGGCCTCACCGGATAACACAGGGTAAAAATACTGTGTAGCACTTGCGAGAAGCTTATTTGCTTTGACAGCAAAAATCCCAGGGCACATGAGCAGACCCACTGTTTTGTGTCGTGTAGTCTTATTATGATGATATATGGCGCTTTGAGTCGAAATATATGCGGGTAATATGGAATGTACCATGAGATATTATTCTTTGTGTAAAGTTTGTGTCATTTGTATAATATTAAGCAAATGATAGAGATGCTTATTTCTTGCATAATTATAAAAGGTATCAGATAAGGGCTGAATGATGTAGTGCCTAATGGGTAAACTCATTATTTTGGAAGAATAATTGTTAAATGTACAGCAGTCAGCTTTTGTACACTGAATAGTAAAATGAGGTTTTGACTCAGCGGTGGCCTGTTTTTGGAAACAAGTCATCTTAATTGTAATCATCTTAAGGAATCCTTGTGGACTTAAACTGTCTGCAAGCTCTTGATTTTTGATGAAGTGTGATTTTTCGGAGTTTGTCCGGCTCCTCAGCAAAATAGGAATATTTATCAGAGCCTGTACTCAGCTTATTTTGAAAGCTGAATAAGGTTCTCATGCGGTGATTCCAAGAAGTTCACCATGTGCTGAATCATTATTCCTCCATGAGCACTTGTTTTATTCCCAATAAGAAAATGTCTCAAGAGCAAAATATGGTCTTGGAGAGGAGGTGAGAACTTGATGAACCCTTCAGAGGCCCTGCCAGCCTGCCTGCTGGATCATGTGTTTGTTCCATTAGTTCTGCTGAATTATTGTTATCCGAAGTGTTTAAAAAAACATTATCCTGCTTGTGTTGGTTGTGTCTTGAGACTTCTGTGTTTATGCTGAAATTCATTATGTTTTTTGGCTCTTGTTGTTGCAGGGGATGATGACCGGGACACAGATCTCTTCCTTTGTGACACCAACACTTGCAAGTTTGACGGCGAGTGTCTCAGAATTGGGGACATAATAACATGTATATGCAACTTCAAGGTAAGAACACTTCCCTTATGAACCAGCATTGCTAATCAAGGTTACAGGTTACATCAATACCTGATGGGTGATGTAATACCATTTGATGTAATACCATACTATTATTGGACAATTCGGTAAATCAAATACTTCACAAATAAAATTACTTTTATTTTCTGTTTTTTTGTATTTGGGACTTGGGCGCAGACCAAAATATAAGGCTCTTCATAATTTTCCAAGACCTATCTTTCATTGCAACATTTCACTTCATGTAAAGTAGAAACACTCAAAACTATAAAACTAATAATAATAAATGTATAGTTCTGATTGGATGAGCCACACAAAGCAGTACCTTTTCTTCTTGATTTCTTTGGGACTCCCATGTTTCTTTGTTGCCCTCATTCGAAATAATGTAAAGCAGTCTCAGTCAGCATAAAATCAAAATAGATATTTCTGATTTTTTTAACTTATGTTGCAGTGTTTATTATTAATGATTTGTCCGTGATCATAATTTTATTATATATTTTTTTAACACATGCCCCCATAGTCTTTAATTAAAGGGGTGGTTGATTGCGATTGCACTTTTTTAACGTTAGTTTGTGTGTAATGTTGCTGTTTGAGTATAAACAATATCTGCAAAGTTACGAAGTTGAAAGTTCAATGCAAACGTCTTTTAAAAATAATGGCAGTTTAATGACTACTAGGGCTGTGAATCTTTGGGTAGACAGCGATTCGATTCGATTCACAATTCATAGGTTTTCGATTTGATTCAAGAACGATTTTTGCAAGTTTAGAACGATTCAATTCGATTCGATTCACAATTAAATTCGATTCGATTATAACGATTCGATTCTGCATTCTTTAAGTGCATTCACAGGATTATTTAAATGCTTCCCCTAAATTCTTTAAATGCTTAGTCAGGGGGCAAATTACACAGCAGCCTTAATGGTTAGAGAACCATAGGTTAGAGAGAGAAAAACACTTTTGTCCATTGTTAGATGCTAGTTTAATGATGCTATGGCATGACATGGCATACGTAAAAATTTATG